AGGAAAACCAGAGCTAAATAATTTTGATCAATATTTTCATTTCTCTGACAAAAGCCGCAATCAGCACTCACATAAACAGCTGGTTAGCAAGCTGGGGGGGGGGGGGGGGGCAGGAGGGGTAAATCAAACCAGAGCTTCAAGACACTTATCTTTCCATTACAACAATTGCCACCAATGACAGTAATTTACATGGCTAATAGGCAGTATTATGTTTACAGAATCATTCTTGGGAAGGAGGATCTAAACACTTTTTGCCAGCCCAGCAAAGGAGCTGGTACTGCATCAGATGCTGGTTTCTTTTCCCCCTTCTCTATGTGTGTCTTGCCAAGATGCCTTGCTATGCACAACAGAGAGTACCTCTGCAAGCACACACAGACCTGGAGAGCATATGATTGCCTGCCTGTGACAACCTGAAGTCTCTCACAGCAGGGCTGCCTGAACCTCTGGGCTGGGGGAAAATACCTGTCACGCAGAAGATAATGGAGTCAAGCCCCTCAACCCCATGCCACACTTCTCACCCCTCTGCTGAAGATAACCTCAAACTAGCCCCAGTGTCTCAGACATAAGCCTTATCTTCCACAGTGAGAGGTCCCATCACAACACCACAGGCAAAACCCCCTGGAACATCAGCCTGAACATCTGCTAATTCTCTGCCCTCCCCAAGCCTTGTCTTTCTTTTGGTCATGAAACGCTCTATGTCTCCTCCTTATGAACTCTCTCAAGGCTTTGCCAGGAGTCACACAGGCAAGTGGGAATGGTAAGGCACAGAAATGGGCCAGTCCCTCAGGGTCAACAGGATTAAGAGGACTATATGTATTACCCTTTTAAAGCAGCAAAGTAAGAGAACATTACATCACATCAGTACTACAAAGAACACATTGGAGTTTTTCACTAGACCATCTCCAAAACATAAGAGACAAAAAAGGCACAAAGATTTCCAAAAGCACATGAAAGCTTTAGTTTCAATAACAACAACAAAAAACAGGAAAAAAAATAGTGAACACTTGCCTAGTTTTCTTTTAATATCAGCCACAATTCCACTTTTGTCTGGAAAATACATGCACCCATTCTGCAAATCGTACCCAGCCAGCCAGCCAAGAGACTCAGAGAGGACAGCCTTGCATTAAATGCAAAACTTCGGGTCATTTGAGAACCTGTATGCACTGCTGATGCTTTTAAAAAAGAAGATTTAACAAAGCCCTGAGGGCACGGGCAGCCAGGCTTTGCCAAAACCCTCAGTGGATTCACACACCGCAGCACAAGAAATCCATCCCATTAAGTAATGACCTTTTTGGTCACACCAATTAACTTGATCATCTATCGACAGTCAATTTAGAAACTATCCAGGATGCACATTTCCCAGCACAGGCAGGGAAACATAAAGCAGCTCCTTAGCACATCCTCCCAACCCACTGCCAGCCTGGCATTGCTTCTGCATCCCAGGTTTGCTCCCCCTCTGCTCCAAGTTCTGTCATCCCAGCACCTTTCCCAAGAGCTCCACTTTAACTGTTTAATGCACCAAACTCTTACATTTAACAAGGTGCTGAGCCATCCCAGCTTCAAAGGGGATGTGATTCAAAGACTCAAGCAGGAAATGAGAGAAGTCAGTCAGAATAGGGAAGGAGCACAAATGCAATAGCTTCACACACCAGATTTTAATCCTCCCACCGATCTGGCTGACAGCAGCCTCTGGGGATGCCCACATTTCATTGACACAGCTGTAATATTCATGACCTGTCCTCAAGAAATCCATATAAGAGATCTTGAAAAAAAAAAATCAAAATGCTAAACCCCATGAAAGCACAGAATAAAGCAGGTTATTCAATAGCTCAGCTGAATTTAATGTGGCAGTAACAGGCAATTGCATTTCAAATGCAGATACAGATTTTTAAGTAATTTCAGAACATCTGATGTGAAAGTTTCACTGGAATACAGGAACTCCTTATCATAACCACAAGTATGTTTATTACCCACAGAGATAACACACAGCATCTGCTGGGCTTCTCAGATAAAGCAGGCCCATATCACAACAGCAGGATCCCATGGATTAAGAGCAGGAGAGGATCCAACTCAGGGACACCAAAGGGCATCAGTGACATGAACAAAAACACATCCAAGGGAGAAGCACCACAAGCTACACGCTCAGGAGCAAAGTGTCTTGACACGTGCAGACACAGTAGTATTAGATGTACTCAAACAAGGGTAAAGACAAGTCTTTGGGTTCTCCCAGGGAATTTCTCTTCTCAGCAGCTACAACTCCAGCAGGTATCTACCTTCCTGGAAGCAGACACTGAGCAGCTCTTCCCCTCCTAAAAAGGCTCTGCTACTCTTCAGGGTTAGGAAATTCAACGGTGTTTCAAGGATGGTTTCAGCATACCAATGAAAATCGCACAAACTAAAAGGAGCATTTTGGTCATTCCCCCCCATATCTGCGGTTTAGCATCTCTAGAAGGGCTCGTGAAAACACAGCTCAGTTCTGCTTGTGAAGACAACAGATTCAGTTTTCACCAAAAGGCTGTTAAGTCAGAAAAGCATAAGTGTCACTTGGAGAGCACTTACCCATGGGATTTCAACAAATACAAAAGGGTACTTAAGAGTGACAGCGTCCTTCATTATGTTAACAGCATGAAACAGCATCTTCTGCCCAGCTGGAACAAATGGGGAAACTGAGGCACAGACGGAGATCTCTCTCCTCAACCTGATTCTTCACTTTCAAAACCTCTGGATTCTCCATGTCCACACGAGCTCTGACTGACCAGCAGGACCAAGAATTAGTTGGGAAAGCAAAGGGAGATGGCCAGACAACCAGACAGCATGACTATGCAAGTCTCTTCCTTAGAAAACCAGGCTAAAACTACCATAGACAAGCAGGTTCAGTTCTCCAGAAAGCAACAAAATTGCAGCAGAGTTGATTTTGGCCTAGCATGCACTTGGCAAATACTGATAACAAGGATTTACCATATCCTCTCTAGTATTACAGCTGACTATAAAGCAAACATTTGCTTCCTACAGATAACAAAATGACTATGATCACTCTAAGTTTATAAAGGTTAGGGTTTCTGCCATCACCCAAGGCAGAAAATCTCCTGCATGTAACACTGGCCTCAGTTTTCCCTCAGGTACCCACTCACCTCACGCAGAGATATGGTTTGGGATGGATTCCAGCAGCAAATTACAATCAGATTAAATATTAATTCCCATCTTAATTATATAACCATGACTAGGCTTAATGGCCAGGCAGCCATTTAAACAGGAAAGGAGCGTGTTAATTGGAGAAGCAGCATCTCTAACGTTGCAAATGCCCAAACCTGGCTCACGAGCACCTGGATTCTCCCTTGGGAGAACAGCTAGCTTTTGAGAAGGCAGCTCTGGGGAAGGCAGAGTTCAAATTACCTGGCAATACGGTATTCAGGAATCAGCACAGAACAATGCAGCACCTGCCTTCACAGAGTGATACACTATAGTGATGAAGATCATACATGTGCTGGATACTTACTGATGGATTTTGTCCTCTCAACACCTTCAACAGAGACAAGCATGTAGCATCTCTGCTTTTGTCTAAAGATGAAGATACCAGAGCAGATAAAACAACTGGCCCAGGATCAAGGCAGCCACTCAAGCAAGATGTCCCCTGTGCCACAGCAACACCCAGCCTGGTGTGGTGGCTCTGGTGCCCCCGATGCTGTGCCGCAGAAGCTGCCTGCAGCTCCAGATCAGGCTGCAAGCATGCACGCAGGGAGAGTTGTCTCCCTTCTCCCCCAGGGAAAGGCAGATTGCCAAACATTTCCTTCCTAAATTATTACTTGTGCCGCTGTGAAGTGGTTCGCGTACCATCAGCAATACACCCACCCCACGTGGGGCCCCTGCAGCACAGCAGACTTCTACAGCTGCCAGGAGAAAGCCCGCTGCAAGAAGAGGGGGGAGACGGCACAAAATCAGCAGGTTCTGCTTCACTTTGGACTTCAAGGTGGTGAAAGGAGAGGGCACCAAAAAAAAATGGAAACAGGAGATGGAAAAAGCCAGGGAAAACACAAACAGAACCAAGCCCAAGTGGTTTCTCATTCAGTCTCACACACCAGAAGGGAAACATGGAACACAGCAGAAACATTCCCCACTTTGGAGCAGCCTCTGCCGTCAAGGCTTGGAGAGTGGCTATCACAACAGCCACAGCACCGCAGCAGCAAGTTCCCACGGCAGAAACCTGCCCCGGGAAACGCGATACAGGCAAACCCTCACTAACGGGGCGCGCACAAGCGCTTGGCACTGTCAGTGCCCCCCATTTCCTGGGGACTGCAAGGAACGCCCTTCCCTGCACTGCTCATCCTGCCTCCCTGCAACCAAGCCCACGGGTGGGGGACACTGCAGCACCACAGCCAACAGGGCAAGTGGGTCTGCATGGAGGTGACGTCCTGCAGCCACAGCAGCAGAGATGCGCGATCCCCGAACAATGGCAATGACAGCACGCAGCAGGCTGCCAGAACGAGTGGGATAGGAAGGATAAAATGAATCAGAACTAAAGTTAGGTGATGTCGAAAAAGGAAATCTATAGCAAGAGGACTCAGCCACAAATCCACATGACAGAAACACAGATGGATTTCAGCTGATCCTCGGGTGGAAAAGCACAGCCCACTTCCCACCAGCACATCCCCTGTAGAGAGCCCCAAGGAAAGCAACCGGCACAGCCCCCTTCCCACAATGAACTGACGAGGGGTTGGTTTGTGTTTTGTTTTCTTTTCTTAAACCCTTTCCTGCTACTGCAGGGAAAAGAGTCTCAAAGCAGGAGAGGCAGGAGGCTTTCAAAACACCGACTGCATCCCCTGTTAGTGTAAACTGGCACAGCTTCCATCAAGTCCATGGGGGGGGAAGGTTTTCCAGTCTACTTCTCTCCGAGGCATTTCATACCCAGCGAGGCTTGAACTTTGGATCAAAACACACGGGCTTCGGGATCAAATGCAGACTTTCCCCAAACCACTTCAGCCCTCTGCCAAATGAATCTCAGACTGAAACCAGTCCACGTTTTTCTGTTCGGAATCAAACCCACCTGTTGGAAAGCACATCCGCATGTACCAAGCGGCACGTCCACAGGCTGGGCGGCTGCGCTCGCTACCCCTCAACACAATACGTGGCCCATTGTTAGAAAACAAACAGAAGATTTTTATTAGTTGCCTAATGGCTTGTAAAAAGAAAAACAACCAACAAAGCAGAGAAACCACAACTGCAGATTCCTACAGAGCATTTGAAGTTTTCTGGTTGAAGCGGGTTTGAAAAACAACATCCATTGCACCAGCCCCCTTTTCCTTTTCAAATCATTGTTCTCCATTACAAGCCTCGAGATCCACTTAGCTCGTTGCTCAAACACGCAGAGACAACGCAGCTCCCTCCCGCCTCAGCTCACCCGCTCGTCTGCTGGTGGGGTCATGGACTGACATCCATCTAGAGAAACCCACACGCGGGGATGACAATGGGCCATTCACATGGACCGTTATTCACTTCTACTACACACAGCCACCCTAACCCTGCACCTTTATCAAATGATAACCTACCCCTTACAGGAGCTCACCCAGCAAGAAAGAAAACACCCCTGCAGCCATCCACGTGCAGTTATTACGTTGTGCCGGACCTGAATGCATTGTAAAAAGGAGTAAAAACATACAATGACACAAGGATGGCTTCAACACCGCAATCCCCTGTTCAGGAGGCTCTTTTAAATGAGAGCAACCCCAGGGCACACACAGGGCTCCCATTTTACACTGCAGCTCCACCAGCCTACACCTTCCCAACCCCATCTCAGGGACTCTGCGGGTCTGCACACGCTGAGGGGATGAACCAGCGCACCCCAAGCTCGCAGCTCCGGTGACCCTTGATGCAAACTTCGATGGCAAAGCGCAGAAAGTCGGCGAGCGTGACCGGTGTACGTGTACCCATGCACGGAGCCGTTTGCGAAACCATTGCAAAACACCGGCCCGAGGAGCGTGGCTACTCCTGGGTCACCTCCTTGACCAGCGGGACATCTGCCCCGCCGCACGTCCGGGCCGAGGGGAGGCCAAAGGTACCCACCATGGCCCTCACAGACACTGGGCCTGCTGCGGGCCAGCCCCGCGCCGGACAAGTCCCTGCAGAGGGAACTTGTCACTGGTGAGGGAGAAGCCCGGGGGTCGCTGCTGCTGGGGCCATCCCCATCCCCTCCCCAGCCTGGCCCTCTGAGGGGGGCTCCCCGCGCGGGGACGCCCTGTGTCACCCCAGAAGGGTGACCCCAAAAGGAGGCACCGTCCAGGCATGGGTTGAATCCATGAGCGTGGCTGCTGCCCGGCTCAGGGAGATGAAAAGCAGCCGGGGGACAGAAGGGGATTGGGGTGGGGGCTGTGATGAAAAATGGCCACGGAATGGGGGCCACGACGCAGTGAGAGGGGGGAAAAACGGCAACTGAGGGCGAAATGGCCACTGAGGGGTAGAGAAACAGCGGGGGGAGAGCGTCCCGGCTGGGGAGCGCATCCCCGCGGGGAGCTGCCCGTGACCGAGAGGCTGCAGCGCCAAGGCAGGTGGCGCGGCCGCCCGTGGGCTGGGGGGCACCGACCCGCACGCACGCACAGACACACACACACCCCCTTGTCACCCACCTTGCACGGCCAGGACAGCGAGGGCGGAGAAGCAGAGACAAAGCAGGTCCTCCAGCGCCATGTAAGCCCCGCCGGGCGCCGGGAGCAGGGGCCGCCGCGGCCGCATCTAAGAGGGGAGCGCGCTCTCCCGCCGCCCCACCGCCATCTTGTGCGAGCGCCCCAGCCCCGCTGCCCGCCGGCGCCGCCGGGCCCCGCTGCCGGGGGGCGGGGGGCGGCCCTGTCCTGCCGCTGCTCCGCCTTTGTCAGCGGGTTCGCCGCCGAGCAGAGGGGGCTGCTCCCGCCCTCCTCCACAGCGCCCGCACCAACAGGTTGCTGCTGGGGGGAGCGGCCGCGGTTCCTGAGGGGGGAGAAGCGGGAACGGGCTGCAGCGGCAGGTGCGGGGCTCCGCAGGCCGGCGCACGGGGGCTATAAACATTTTATGTGCCTTTTTACTCATTCCTTTCCCCCTCCTCATTAGATTCGTGGCGTTTCTTTCTTTTTTGCCACAGGTGAGCGCAGAGGACACGGCGCTACCACAAACCAGCCGTGGGCTTCCCCCTCACGGTGCTCCCTGCGGACACCTCCGTCCTGTCAGCGCTGCGGGACCTCAGCCGCCCGACACTGACAGGCACGAAGGCATGAGGTGTCCTGCTTGCATGGGCACAGCCATCAAGGGCTGGTGGCCGCCGTCCCGCAGGGGCCCTGTCAGCCGGGGCAGGCCCATGTCTGTGGGGCAGACACACATAGCGACCGTACCTCCGTCAGTGTGCAGGCCCGGGGGGGCTCATTTCGACAGCTCCTGCAGGTGTGTATCCTTCACGGGGCTTTCCAGGTGGTGAAGTCCAGCCTGTGCTTCTCAGCCGTCCTTAAAGCCAATAAAATACAGACGTGCATGGCACCGGTGCAGAGAGCAGCAGGAGCCGCCCGCCCTCCGAGCCAAGCAGTGGGAATGAGGCAGGGAGCTGAGGGGTGCTGAAAGATGGAGACCGAGGCCGCTGCCTCGCAGCTTGGCTGGGTCCCAGGCACGGTGAAGCTGCGGGTGTAGGGTTAGTCCTGAAGGCAAATGACACCAAGACCTTTAGGCAGTGGTGGCTGGCACCAAGCAGAAGGGCAGATGTATCCGGAGCGGGTAGGGGGGGGTCTGCTTTGGTCCCTGAGTGGGGAAGAAGCTGCCGGGCACACGGGGATGTTTTATCCAGCGGTGTGGAATGCAGAGAGGGCTCCAGCTATGCAGAACATGAATAAAATGAAACTTTTTTCATCCAAACTCTATTTATTAGCTTGTATAATGAGCTATAAAAACTTAAATGAAACCAGAAAGGCTGCGTGGTGGGAAGCAGGTTTGCCATGTGTCTGAGCTACGCCACTGGGATTGAGTACTTGGCACCATCACTACAGACCTGGGAGCCAGCAGCCCCCTGCTCTGGGCACATGTGCGGGGAAGAAAAGGGGATAGTAATAGCCATGCTCCCTTCTACGCTGCTCCAGCGTGGAGCTAAAGATTAACAACCTCTGCAAAGCCTCCTCTCGTCTCTGGGCCTTCCCCACCTGCTCCCTTCTGTGTGAGGTGGTTTTGAAAGTGCTGTCAAATTGCTTTAACTGTGCTGTAGGGGAGCGTCTCCTCATTGTGCTGGTCTGCTGGTTTCAGACACCCCCCTGCCCTTGTTTCCTCAAATCTCAGACCTTTCTCCCTCCCTTTAAATAAGGAAACCTTTACCTAAAAGTCAGGCAAGTCTGGCATAATAAATAATGAAAACTGCTAATGGTCTGCAATATACAACACACCTGTCTGTGTGAAGGCACTAACCCATCTCCCTGCCAGGGTTATACCTAACCAGGTCAGGATTAGAAGCAGGCACCAGCTTCCAAACACGCAGATCCAGTTCTTGTCTTTGCCTGGTATGACAGTGTTACTTGATTTCTCTGTGGCACCTCTCTATTTCCTGCATGTCAGCAGAAACAGGAATTAAAACAGCATTTAGACAACACCAGCCCTGCAGCAGATACATTCCTTGAGCATCTATCCCTGGGCAAAAGAGGAAAAAGAACAACCTAGCAAACAGCCCCTGATGTGTGAAAGCACCAGGCACTTGACCCAGAGCACCGGCTCCTTTCACACCAACAACACATGTGCTCCGCGAGAGTAACACCAAGTCCTCACCATCCACCCCTCTTACCCTCATCCCCACAGACAAACTGAGCCTTTACAACCAGTTTTTCCAGAGGGAGGCTCCTTTACAGCTTAATCCAACGCTGGCTGACGTGTGCCTCCCCAGGAGCCCGCCTGTGGCTGCAGGGAGACAACCCTGGTGTCACTGCTTCAGCGAAATGACTTCTTGTGGTGCTTACAGAGGACACAGGGCCTGGAGAAAGAGCCCCTTAGATCTGGGCAGGATCAGGTAACCCCCTGGCTGTGAGTCCGTAAAGAACAAAGTGACAGCAGACATGCCAGCAGAAGGGACATTCCTTCCCCACATAATGGCATTTCTGCCCCAGTACTTAGAGCAAGCAAAAGGCCCCATTTATGCGCTGCAGCCTCTCCAATGTTCCCATCCCTGTCGGTGAGGAGTTTCTTTCTACCTTTTAATAGCTGCAAATCTCTGATAACTTTCAGCTGAGGAAGTGTGAATGGCACAGAGCAGCAGCAGCAAGTGGCAGGTGGTTGTGGTTGAGCCTTTGTTCCCCCTTTGGGAGACATCACTTCTGTGCTCCAAAAAAGAAGGTGTGGTGAGTCAGGATATGGACAGTACATGGTACACGTCATGGGTTTGTGTAAGACCCAGCAATGAAGAGCTCATTAGGGAAATCCAGCAAAGCTATAGATTTTTCTAGTTCAGCAGGAGCTTTTCCCATGCAGCCGAGGGGAGATCCATGCTTTTGAAAGGTTGGTGCAGATGCAAGAGGCCTTGAAGCACAGCAGCAGGTGTTACAGAGCTATCTGAAGCAGAATTTGTCGGTGCTCTGAACCCAAACCCATGCTGAGCAGCCTATGTCCACATCCACCTGTAGGATTCCAACTACCAGGATCCAGTTGTGCAAAGCACTAAACAAGTGCAGGTGAAGAACAATGCTTGCTCCCGAAAAAGACCCCCTGAAATAAAAGAAAGCCAAAGAACAGGGAAAAGCCATTTCAGAGAGAAAGCAGTGAGGAACAAGAAGATTCACAACCCATTGTGTGTTTTTATTAAACAGGCAGTGCAGTATTGTCCCAGTTCCAGGCTGAATCCTATCACTGACAATGGTGTCTGGCTGCCTCCTGTGGACTGGGGTTCAGAGCATCGAGAAGCTGTGGTCCAGGGTCAGAGCAGTTAAAGCAAATGAGAGAAATGGAAGTGAATTCAAAGTTACGGGACACAGCAATTTAAAGCAGAATAGCTATTTTAAAAACCATGAGGCTGTTCTTATTCCAGGTGAGGGTTGCTTTATGCTCTCTTAGCTTAATCCACTCCATGCTGAAGAGAACAGATTTGATTTGGAATAGGCACTTTCTCTGCAGACTGAGTGTGCCCCCCCCCCAGATCACTGATCAGGAACAGCTCAGACACAAATCCCCACACTGCCAAACCCTACAGCTCTGAAGTTACAGCACTGGAAGCTTTCGTGGGTGCACTTGTTAATGCCCTCCAGTTCAGCAGGTATGAAGTGCTGCCTGCAGCTACTCAGCCCCCATCTTGCAGGGGGTCAGTGCCTGAAACATGCTTGGGACCACACTTTGGTTCTTTCTCTCCCAAGCAGGATTAAACTTCCCAGTCTCAAATACAGCCTTGCTCCGGTTTCTGAGCATCTCTGACTCCAGACAGGTCTGCTTCACCGAGTTTGACATTTTAGGATGCATTTAAGCTGCTCTAATAACCAGAAGAGTTGGCTGCTCTTTCCTTTGTGTTGGCCTTAGTGCTTGAATGAGCCTGGAGCTGGACAGAGGGAAGGATGGTGCTGAAAACTTAATTGGCAACAACAATAAGAAGATCAGCTCCAGCGCTCCGTGCAATCACCCTAGAGTTAGTGCCAGCACAAGGAGAGCAGTGGGAATATGCAGACAGGGGCACGAGGAAGCTTTCAACGGCAGCACAAAGCTGCATGGGCTCAAACCTTGCAAAACTGCAGCCTTGGTCTTCCCAGGAAAGAAGTCTCTGAGGGACCTTTTCCACCAGGACTCGCTTTGCTGCCAGGCTTCTTCGGGTCTGGCAGCAACTTCAGCACTAGAGGGAACGTTGACTTCCAGGCGAGAAGAGTGCCTGTGGCCTCCTGTTCTGTATGTGCGAGCAATGCCAAACAGGAGCAGCTGGTTGCACATAATAACATGCATTGTGTAAGTGAGCAACACAATAAGCAATTTGCTCGACAACCCAGGGACACCAGGACAATTCTGTATCACAGAGAAGAAAGAAAAGAGCTAAAAAACATGTGATGACCAAAGCCTAAGGGAGCCTCAGTATACTACCCATTCATTTCATTACACTTGCTCTTATAAATATTTATGACACGGCCCATCTCATCATTCTTCCAGGAATGGGTGTTGTGTTATTGTTATACCCAGGGAGGGCTTTCCCTCTTCCTCTGGTCCTGCTGCAGGCAGTCGGCAGTTGCCAAAGATAGATAGGGAGCAAGAGTGGGACATTAACTATGGAAAACGCTACTTAAAACGGAGCTCAGGGGCAGATATTGGCAGGTATGTTGTTAGAAGAAAAACAAATGGAAAAGACAGCAAGTAATGAGATTCAGAAGCTTGTGTTTGAAATGTGTTCATAGCGAAAGGGATTTCTGCATAGAAGGGCCCTACAGCCACCAGTGAGCAGAGACTCACCCTGAGATTGCACCCTGCATGGATTCAGGATGGGAGTTTTGATTAAGATGAGTGCCAGGCTGGGAAACAGCAGCGAGGCTCAGGTGTGTTCTGAGTATCAGCATCATCTGCCTGCACAGGGAAAAATACCATGTTAATGTAGGGTAAAATAATCCCACCATTTATAAAGCTTTGTACATAAAACTTGGAGTGGGGTTTTTTTCTCTTTGATTTCTATTGCTACCTGGATATCCCCTGTGCCCTGTTCCTTGCTCTTACTGGGATTTGCCATCCAAGTGAAGCTTTACAAAATCAAATGCTAATCTGCTTTATGCAGAGTCACATCAACTGATTCATTATTCAAGACGAGTCACTCGCATTGGGTTAGTGATGGCCTGACTTACATGCTGGGTAGATTTTAGGTGATATGGATCTGTTTCGTTTCAGTTAGCCTCCCTCACCGCCATGTGAGTCTTGCCTGCGTGTATTTGTTAACCAGCTTGTT